TAATTACATAATATGAGCCCTACCTGAATAAATAATATTTGTTTTAACATCACAACACATTTTTTTTTCACCTAGAGCTAATATATGACTTTAATCCCAGTCTTGCTATCCATTCATTTTTAAATATTTGGAGCTTAGTTTTTGTTTTTTTCTTATTCTTCTGTGCAGATTTAACAATCCAGTATATAATGAGGTGTCAGTGTACCTGTGTCTGGATATTAATGCACTACTCCAAACATTTGTGGCCATTTTACCTTTCCATACCACTAACCATGATGATCTTGTACCTCTTGTACAAGCTAAAGCAAGCTGTTCCTCTGGTGAGTTTTAGTGATGAATACTAATAAGGAGGTTGCTGAAGTGGAACTTTTCTGCTTCAGATTTGGCAAGTTTCTGGTGAGTGGAAATAACTGCCTTACTTTAAGAACTGCTGAGAAGCTGTATGAAGAGAGTGAAAAGAAAATGAGGTTAGAGAGGATGGATGTTTGTATTTGTGTGTTTTGTGATAATTCTGGTGATGAGTCAACACAGAAGCAGCAGCAGGATGAGACCAAACGGTTGTGCTGCTAGATAGAAGAAGCTCCTCAAGAAGATTCACTCCCTCCCCTCTTATGTTATTAGTCAGTCTGTGAGAACTTCAAAATGTGATCATATCTGTGGGGGTTTTTTTTGTTATGTGGTTACTGCTAGATCTCCTACTGGCATGTGCCCTGTGTTTAAGGATTCGAAGCTCTAAGCTAGGGGTGTGGAACTTCAGGCCTCGAGTGCTGGTGTCCTGCAGGTTTTAGATCTCACCCTGGGACAACACACCTGAATCAAATGGTATAAATAGTTCATTACCAGGCCTCTGGAGAACTTCAAAACATGTTGAGGAGGTCATTTAGCCATTTAAATCAGCTGTGTTGGATCAAGCATGGAAGCATGGAGTTCGACACCTGTGCTCTAAGCTGTACCTGCAGTTTAACTGTACAAGTGTGTGTAACAGAGGGTAACAAGTACATGTCTGACCAAACCTGACCACTGCAAACAGCCTGACTAGGCTGGTTGCAGTGGGTTCTCTAGCTGTATAGTTTGAAAACTGGCTGATTCTACTGACTGCAAGACAGGCACACGGATACTTATTCAGACACACATAAGCATTAAAATGCTTTTCTTAGTGAGGAAGGGAGCTTTAGGGGGGGTTTTCACAGGAGGAGGTGATCTGTCAGGAATTTCAAGCCCTTGAAGTGTCAGAAATGGAAAGTCTGTGTATATCAATACTGCAAGTGCCCGGACGACCTACAGGAGATGAATATCTATATGCTGCATTAACATCAAATGGAAGACTTTGGATGAGAAGTTTCTGCCTCAAAATACCATTTATTTCACCTGTCAGACTGCAAATGATGTTTCATGTCTGCAGCAACCTGAATTCTGGCATCACCACCAACCACCCAAAGTCAAGTCTTGCTTTTAAAACACTGGTCTTCTAGGTCTGAGAACTGAACCAATATAGACTTGCCGACAGCGCCTTTGGAAGATATAGTAAAAGTTATTTCCCCATTGATCTGTGACGTGGGAATTCTGTCATTATGGTTTAGGTTTTAGTTTTACTATCATTGGTCTTATAAAAAAAAAGAAAGAAAGAAAGAAAGAAAACAAAACATAATACTGATCTTGTGAATGGATTCATTCATTCAGAAAACAGATGATCAAATTGTTGCTTTTAGGATTTGGCTACATTGTGACATTTGAAAGTCGCTACCATGAGAGGACACAGTATACTTTGGTTTATTCTTTGGTTACACTTATGCCCCAGTCATCACATCCAGTTTTAAAATGCCACAAAGTATCTATTGTGAACAAAACCAAAATGAAAAATGATTAAAAATAGATCCTACTGTGTTTTCCATGTTTCAGAACCATAATATATAACAAAAATAATTTGTTTTTCAAAAAAAGCAGGAATTGTATATTAGAAGAACAGAAAACAATGAATTGTAATAACATAAATAATAACATAAAATAACATCCATCCATCCATCTTCATCCGCTTTATCCGAGGCCGGGTCGCGGGAGCAGCAGCCTAAGCAGAGAGGCCCAGACCTCCCTCTCCCCAGCCACCTCCTCCAGTTTATCCGGGGGAACACCAAGGCGTTCCCAGGCCAGGCGAGAGATATAATCTCTCCAGCGTGTCCTGGGTCTGCCCCGGGGCCTCCTCCCGGTGGGACATGCCCGGAACACCTCACCCAGGTGTTTTTAATAACATAAAAAAGCTGACCAGGGCCTTTTGTGATCTATTTTTAATTTGATTGTGTGCCAAATATTTTCAGTGGCTGACTGGTCTAGACTGCAGCAGCCGGTTTATTTTTTACCAAAGAGACATGCTGTTGTAAAAGGTTCAGTCCTGCTATAATAGGCAAGGCCTTTGCTCAAACTTGGCCTTCCAGTCATTTGGATGGTACCACATACTGATCCAAAATGTATTTATATTTCCATATCTTAGCAACAATGTGGATCACATATAAAATTAGGACATACATAGTTATCACAAAACACTATATTTTATTTTATTTTTTTAGAAACACAGTTGCATATCAAAATATGATGTCAGCTATATCTTGTATAAGTATGAAAATGGTGGCAATCATATCTTACATTAGATTATATTTTGGAATCAGTGCACAGCCAGACCTCATCAAACATTTCATTTAAACCAATCAGACCGAATCAAAGGCAAGGAACAGGGTTTTAGTGGATAAAAAATGCCACGGGGTTAAAGACACTGGGAATTGGGTCAGTATTAAATTGAAAAGTCACACAACACACAATGAAAGACTGGGGAATTTATATGGCAAGTAGCAGGACCTTGAGTCAGATTTTTCCTTTTAAAAGAATCAGCATTACAAACATTTGAGACGAAGTAGCTAAAAAAATTATTTTAATGTAACCCTTTAAAGCAGTTTTGCGTAACTATATTTAAATCCCTGTAGAACCGGAACCACGTAAGCTAGCGCAATAATTTACTTTTTGCATATGAAACCGGAGGAGTTGTACTTACATCTTATGCCATCAGCTTGTCCTTGGTCACGGTTTCCTTCCACACATAGCTTTGCAAATACTGCATAAAAAGCGCTAGCAGGAACAAAAACATAATATTCCAGAAACACGCTTTGCTGATCCGATCAGCTGTTTGTAACACTTCCCACATTGAAACAGACATCAGCGCAAATGATGGCATGTCCGCCATTACCTGCCCGAAACTGGAAGTGACGTCATTTTCGCGGAAAATGTAGTTTTTTACTTGTAGGCCTTAAAAGCCAATGCTGGTGTTTTTATAAGTCATGTTTGACTTTATGCTTTTCTGAATAGTTGCTGGGATGCTTAGAACTCCAATTGCACTACTTAAAATAGTTTATTTTGATGCACATGCTGTTTTCTTTGCAAATTTGCATCATAGGATTGTTTTTCATTTTTTCCTGCAGTATATAAAAATTGGTGTATCTCAAAAATAAAACTATGAAGACACTCAAAATAAATTTCCTGCTGTTGTAAGCTATTTATTGCAATTTTTTTGCATTTAAAGTTTTGAGGGATAAACCTCTTAAATTTCTCCAAGTAGAAATATACGTAAAAAAAACCAAAAACGATTTTCAATTATTTTGTAGTTTATTGCACTTTTTTTGCAATTCATCTCGTTACTGTGGACTTAATGCATACATATTATTATAATATGGGCTATAACAGTTGTATTGATGTATAGCAACTTGAAATGCTCCCTAAAATGGAACTATAGCATGTAAAAATATAAAGTAAGCTCTGGCGGCCTTGGTTCTATGGTAGGTCTTAAAGGGTTAATAATATTGTTTTTTCTTTTTTAGATATTACATTGACGTTGACCTCCCTACACTGGTCAACCACAGAAAGATAAATATGACATCCAGACCAGAAAATAAATTCAAAAAGCATATTTATCTTTATGTATTAACTTATTGCTTTATGGGTATAGTTTCCCACAGCTTTTCATTCATGACCTTTTTAGTGAGTCCCCTGAAACATGCTATATAGACTACATGTCATGGTCCTGAGTCTGAGGACTCAGTGTTTTGTGTTTCCTTATGCTTTTGTTCATTCCGAGTGTGTATTCTGTTGTGATTTTGCCATTTGTTAGGTTTCTGTTCTTTGCCTGCCTGCTCCCACTTCTCTGTGTTCCCTCTGTCTGTCCATGGTGTTATTGTGTCTGCTCATGAGTCTGCCTGTCATGTTCAGTGTCCTGTCTGATTCTCTGTGTCTGTTAGTTTCCTGTTTTATTCTGAAAGTTCATGTCTCATGTCAGTGTGTTCAGTTTTACCTCTCCCCTGTCTCGTTAGCCTTATTGCTCCCAGCTGTGTCTCCCTCCTGTGGCCCATTCCCTGATTACTGCCCGTGTATTTAAGCCCTGTGTTTTCCTGTGCTCTCTGTCGCGTCGTCTGTTTAACGCCGTGTCCGTCTGCATCATTCTGTGTAACCTGGTGTTTAGTCTGCGTCTCGCCGCCATCTTTCATTGTGTATTTTGTTCCTCCCCCTGTGCGTGTTTGGTTTAAGTTGAGTTCTTTAGTTTTCCCCAGTTTAGGTTGGTTTACTCCCCGCTCTGCTCCTCCTGTTTTTGTCCCCTTATCACCTCTGCAAATAAATATTCACTCGCACCCCAGTCAGTGCCTGCATCTTGGATCCTTTACTCAATTCACCACACGACTGCTGTGCAGCCGTGACACTACATGTCCTTTGAGTTCTGTATTCTGTAGGACATTCACTAATTCAATAAGAGCTTGGAAAGATGATATAGTCAAGACAAAAGCCCAAAAAGCCCGGCTCTCAGCCTCAGTGAAACACGCCAATGGAAACAGATAGCATTCGGTTTGCAAAACAGAAAGCAGTGGAATGTATTTAGGAATTCAAGTACAAACAATGCCTTAGAGAAATGATCCGGTTTGGAGGTTGTTTAAAGAGAAAATCTTGTATGTCTTTGGTGTATGTCTTACCCACAGTTAGCTGACCAGTCAGTTGTCCCTGTTCATTCCGAGCATTGACAGTCACATTTCTGTCTGACTGGAGGATCAGTGGACTGTCCTATAAAGAAGAGGAGAGAGAGATGACTAAAAGAACATCAAAATGTAGATTTATTGGACTCTCACAAACATAACCACGAATACCAAAATAGCTTCATAGTTTTCATTTACACCTATTTACTTTACTTTCTGTCTGTGCCTTGTAGGCTCTTGCTTCACTGGACACCTTTCAACCAACCAGCCAGTACTGTCATAACTTGTATCAACCTCCACAGTTCACTCTTGACTCCCTCTCCTCTCTGCCAGCACCGGATCCTTTGCACTCAATTTACATAATCCATTCAAAATGGCATCCATCTGTGATTGTGTTTGCTTGTGTTGAATTGTGTGTATGTCTGCGAAAAGCCAATTATTCTCAACCTAAATGATATAAATACAGCTGTGACCCTGACCTCTGCTTTCCTCTTTTAAAGTCTGACTGGGACAACTTTGGTTTACATTGAGTGGATATGTGTTGCAATGAATGCAAACCTGATGTCTGCCATTTTCATTGGCTTACAAAAACAATCTAACATCGCTCTCTCTCTGGGTCCTTCTCTCAGAGCTACCTCGGCTGTCGCTCCCAGCCCTTCCCAGTCTGCTGACTCTTCCCACTTATATACTTAACCAAGTTTCCACCTCTTTCATTACATCTCTGCACTTGCATCATTTTCTTTTTTTATTCTCTTCCTCTGCCCTGCGTCTCTCACTCTTACCCTTTAAATTGCTTATTTGTTTTGGCTGCTTGAAATGAATAGCTCACAGGTGACCCAATTTCTCTGTTGATTTCCCCAAATTAATATCTTGCTGCATTCTGGTCTGAATTCCAAATGAGTATTGTGTTAAAATTGGAAAGTCGTTGATCCGTTGAAATGGGGGGGGCCCTTTCCATCCTCTTCTGACTGAATCTCCCTCATTCACCCACCCATTCTCTGTTGTGCTATTTGTTATGGATGGATATTTATTGTTCTGCTTATGCAAGTGAAGACCAAATTCCTAATATGGCACACCTGTCTGTGTTCTATTTTAGAGCATCAGGGGCTCCTGGGAGTCACGAATGCAAACATGAACATAAGTGTTATGGGTACACAAAGTTATGAACAGACACACACACACACACATACAACAGCCTTACACGTACACAAGACAACATGTGGCAAACAACGTTTGCGTATGACTGTACACCTCACATACACACTTTGATAAATGCACATTCTAGATATGAACACATGCAAACATTAACACCTGAAAGGGCACTTAGGTGCAGTTCAAAGCACTCAAGCTTGTGTGCATGTGTACGCAGAAACACATAATCCACTCATACAGACTCGGGTAACAAATTTGCTAAACAACAAATGAGTGCTCCACTCAGTTTATTGTGCAATGCGTCTCTCTTCTATTTCCTAACACATGTACGCTGGATTAATTATTTTCAACGGGGCGTGTGATAGGCTTCACTGTATTATCTTTCCACTCTGTTAAAAGCGAAGGGTGCTTTGAAAACTGACAGATGTAATATGCCTTGAATCATTCCAGCTCAATGGGCGGTGTGGACGAACATGCCTGGTCTTATTGTGTTAGCGCAGGACTCTGTCATTTTAAAGCGCAACCATTGATGGGAAGTCTTATTCTATTAAATGCATATATAATCTATGGATATAAAGTTTCCAAATAATGACTACGTGTTAAACAGTTGCTAACGTCGTTATACGACAGCTGAATGTTGCCCACGATGTATGAAAAAGTAACAATACTGTCTTGTCCTTCTTGATGAGAAAATTGTCAGCTCCCCCTAAAAGACATTAGCAGTAATCAAAGACTGAAAATCAAAAGCTTTTCGTCACTTGCATTCCTAATTCTATTAAAATAAGATCTTTTATTCACTCATTTGACACACAATACCCCAGTGTGCAGCCTTTATTATCTCTGTAGAAAATAAAGGCAACATTTTTACAATGTATTATCTACCCATAGCGCCCACTGTACTAGTTCAGAGCATGTTCCTACCATCTGAAGAACGCTCTATAGACACAGTCTTCAGATAATTAAGGGCCCAGGGCAGCTGCTTTATAAATACTCAACCTGCTGTTACTGTTTGCTTCCCTTAAAGCTACTAAGAGAGTGCTGCAGATCAAGTTTAAGAAAAACCTCAGTTTCAGCAATCATAGTTCATATTTAGTATGAATACTAATTGAGTTACCATTTGGTGATGTTCAGCTTTGCCTATTGCCCAAAACCTATGCCACAAAAGCACACAAACAGCAAACAATAAGAGTTGTTTGTCTCTTTGCTAGCAGTGACACCTAACACTGATCAAACTAGCTCCAATTTACCCAGAACAAGAAAGCACCACTAGTAGCCTGAACAGTATAAAGGACAATTATATGCAAAAACTGGCTCCTTTAAATATGAGCTAGGCCTCTAGCAATAAACAAATAAATAAATAATTTTAGTCTTGTTTGCATGGAAAAATACACACATTTATCCTGAGATAAATTTTGTTCTTTTCACACTTTGCAAGTTACCACGGAGTTACACACGCACACACATATACACACATATAAAACTAGTGCTTTTAAAACAAAATTTTAGGGGGGAAAAAGTTTACAATGAAACAATAATAAGTAACAAACTTTATTTTAGTGAAGTAAATTAGCTATGGTTGTCAGATTGTCCTTTTAAAATTTAAAGACATTGTTGCGGTCCGCTAATTTATTAGAGGACACATTTTGGTTGGAGCAACACTGAACCCTTACACCAGGGTAGCAAGAAAAAGGTATAAATAAAAGGAAAAACAAATGTATACAATGTGTATCGTATCAAATGCATAGAAAACAAATCCACCAGTACTAGTGCAAAGGTATAGCGTGGAAATATCCGTACATATCTCACATATGCTTTGTGTTGTTCATCCATTATTGTCCCTCTGGTTTTGTTGTTAACGTCTCACTCATAAATCTCATCGAATAATGCAAACTATGCACTGAGGAACAAATACAGTCACAAGCACCATACTCTCTCTTGCGAGCTGACACAACATACACCACTGCACCATTAATTAAGTTAATAGTTAAATTTTTGCTTTGATTATGGATACAGGCATAGGGCTGCCAGCCTGAGGTAGCCAATGTAATTAGTCAGGTAATAATAAGCTGTAGACGGGTGGCTCATCATCACAGCCTCCAGCCCCCAGTACAGATGGGTCCTAAAAGCAGCTCTCAGCTCTCCTGTTTCATTGGTATGTCACTGACTGCCTGACTAGTCTGGTCAGGACACATGGTTCAAAAGTGATTTTTATTTAGTTATTACTCCAGCTTTCAACTCTCCTATCTGTCTCTCATGATTGGTCTCACAAGCGGTCTAACTTCATACATTAGCTGTTTCGATAGTAATATAGTCAAGCCTCATACAAGATGCATTTGACTGATTCATCTTTGCCGTCAGCATCATAACAGCTTTTAGCTCTCCTGACTGTCGTGCTGATTGCTTGTCTCACTAACAGACTGACTCTAAATGGCTATGGATGTAAGTTGAACAAGCAACACTTCTGGCTGTCATGCTAATAAAAAAGCTTTAATCTTTCTGGTCTCTGGTCAGCTCGATTCTCATGTTTGTCTCTCCGACTATGCAAGTGACTGCTTCTTCTGCAATATCCCCTCAAACTCAAACCTTTAGGAATTGTTACTTTTTGAATGTGATGCAACATATGAGGAAACTCATTTATGGAAAACTGAGATCTCAATATAGTAGAATGATTATGTTTAGTCTGCTGTGTTTTTATGTCTCTCTATTGATACGTGTGGAACCTTTTCATTATAAATGTCCTCTAAAGCTCTGTTGTTGATGCGGTTAAAATTACAAAGTTGTTTTAATTTATCAGTTAAGTCAAGTATATAGTAAATCGTTCAGGGCTAAATACAATACTAATCAAACACTGTATGATAAAATGCCTGTGGGGGTTTCCCAATTCCTCTTTCAACCTTAATTCAGTTATCTAGCATAGACTATTAAATAAGTAATGTGCTTGGTGGCATGCAGTGCTAATGTGGTGTTTTCTGTTCCCACAGCCAGAGACAATAAACTAGCAGTGCCCTTGTGTGTATGGGTATTTGGACTGAATATGTTCAAGCTTCTTAATGTCCATTCATAAGCCTTATCATCTATTTAACTGGTCACCAGTGTTCGTTACAAGACTTTTATCTACAGATGTGAGATCTGTGTAATCTGTTCAAATCTCAAGACAAGAATGAGATTGAATCGATTAAAAATTAGCAGTTCGTCCTTTTCTACTAAGTAGCCAGAATGGTGACTATAGAGCTCAAGAGATAGGTTATGTAAGTAAAAACCTCATTCATATTCTCTATTTGGATTTTGATAATCCACCACAATCTTGTATCCATCCAAAGAAAACTTGCTATTAGCTATGAGAGTGATTAAGTCAGGAATGGAGCACTGTACCACACTGATGACTAGGATATACTATTAATATTATGATACGGATTAAATCTGAGAAAGTTAGAAGTCCTTTGGGGAATCTGGGAATTGCAATGCATTATGGGATGAGCAGTTCCTTCACTGTCAAAAGGAATGACATTTTTTAAAGCAAATTTCTTCATTGCTTTTATTGACCTCATAGATAGTTGTCTCATTTACATGAGAATTTTCTGAAATGTCCATGAGGAGAATCAATGGGAAATTAACTTTCGTGACTCCAGCTCAGTCACTATTGAAGTTTTCGGGTCAAGAAGTGTATAGCATTCTACTCACATCTGATTCACCGTTATCATACCCTCCTTGTACTCAGAGCAATGCATCTACTGTGAATGCACTAATGCACTTAAAATAGCAAGTGCAGAAGTATACCAAATGAAACACAGCAACTGTGTCACCAGGTTTCATTGCAAGACTAGCCTGCACAAAGCAGGTAATTACTCACCACAGAGAGACAAAGAAAAATTAAGAAAATGTGAGAAAGCCTGAAGGGCCTCAAGAATACTGAGGGCAGAGGGTGGGACAAAGAGG